AGGCCTACTTTGGTATTATACGGAGGCCACTATTATACAGCACACTGTGGCAGTTAGGTTATCATAAATAGAAAGCATGATTCATCTGGTATCGTTCGATTCATAACAAAACTAGGAAAGTCCTACAAGCATATTTATGATAATCCAACCTAACATGACCGCCACAGCACGCTGTAAATTCAGTGGCCTCCATATAATACCAAAATAGGTAGGCCTACTGAAAGATTATTATTTGAATATTTGTGTTTTTACGTTTCAAAACCGTTGGAGATAGAACCAATATTTAAATGTAGAAAATGTTTGTTTTTGAAGACCTTTTAATTGTGTACCTACCTACTAAGTACACTTCTATTGCTAGGGTTTAGGCCTATTTACTTGTAAGTTCATAAATTTTCCAAAATTTCCATTAGGCTATGCCTATTTTTAAATTTGGTTAGTTAGGTTAGTTTAGAAGAGTTTCATTTCAATAGCCTATATTAGGCCTATTTATATTAAATTGTTTATGTTGATACTGAAAAACAAGTTACCTATTTATTTATCGTTGTTGCCAGCTGATATGTTTAAATCCATTAACCCTTTCAGTGCTATGAAACGATATATCGTTGTTTTAAAAAATCTCTAATGGATATAGAGAGGGAGGTTATTTTAACAAAAAATAGCAAAACGGCCATTGGTGACCTGCATGTTCATAGGATACACTAACAACCACTTAGCTAAAAGATTCGCCCAATCTGATGATTTTGAGGTGTATGTCTAAACCAAGGATTATGAACACCTCACTATGCCCCAGTAGTTGTAGTATATCGCTACAAACACACAGGTCACCAATTATTTGCCACACTCACACAGGACGGGATTCGAACCCGAGCAGACGAATGCCACTGGCCAAGTGACACACGCCCTAGCCTTCTCGGCTATCTGTGCTTGAAGACTGGGGAGTCAAAACCCGGTATTTAAGCTGTCGCCACCGATTGCGAACAGATGGCGCTGCAGATGGTTGTTCAATGCGTTACTAGGTAGCAGCACCAGTTAGTCACGGACTATTTAGATGCAATCTTTTAGTTTAAACACAACAGTGATCATAAATGTGTTCCTGAGACTTTGCAGCAAAACATTAGTTTCCCTAAAATGGCTATATTACGATAACCTCGTCCAACTAAATCAAGGTTAAATTCAATATTACATTGTAAACTATATGTCTTTTGATTTTATGAGATTTTGGTTTCAAATAATGCTATCAGAACATAAAAATTTATAGGAAATCCAGGAAAATTACAACAAAAACTAAGTTTTATTTAATGTTTACTACAAAAAGCGGGATTTATCTTTCTTATATATTTTCTTATTGTGTTATTATTCAAAATTAGCCTAATTAATAAAATAGTGACAACATGACAGTTAAAATTCAACAACAGGTAATGGAATTAAAAGGCAAACAAAAAAGTCTTACAAAATATGAATTATTGGCCTAGCACTGAAAGGGTTAACACGTTCGCTACCGAGCGACGCACATTTGCGTCGGTCCGGTCACTCCTACAGACCAAGAGGAATGAGCATGACGTTACTTACAGACCAAGTGATAGAGGAATAACATTGCTGACAGACCAAAAGAGAAATATCGTTTAAATGGACTAATTGATTTAATATTAACCTTAAGTGAATTAGTAAGCAATAAATATTGTTTTTATTTATCGTTTTGAGAAAATTTTAAAACGCCGCATATACAGTCTAACCTTGATATAACGAACCTCGATATAACGAATTCCTTGATATAACGAATTTTTTTCAATCCCCTAGAACTCTTCATAAGACACAATGTATATTTTACCTCTACATAACGAACAAACTATAACAAAGACCTTGATTTAACGAATTTTTCGTGATTTCGGCTAAAATAAGACACCTCAATATAGCGAATTTATCATTGTCAGAACCTCTACATTGCGAATTTAACCTCTACATAACGAATTGTCTACGTCTTTCCCTCGATATAACAAATCCCCCACCCAATTATTGTTTTGGGAAAATCTGTTTCTTTATCAAATGAAATAGAAAGGTCACGTCATCGCTTGCGCTAACATTCGTCTGCTCCGTTTTACATCTTTGGGTACGTCCACAATGCACGCTGGTTTTCTGAGTCAGACTGTCGGCGCCGATTAAGTCAGACTCGGCGCGCTTATCATCCCATGCTAGTAAACGTAAGCGGCCATAGTGCACCTGCGCGCCGATTTTCTGCGCGCAGGTAGTCTGACTCAGATTTTTACCGGAATGAATTGTTCATTCTGGTTTCAGACAACCTGCTTATATCGGACTGTTGATTTTTGTTTTTGTATTGAGTGTACTCCATCCGCACGATAACTTGAGTAATTTTTGTCCGATTTTGATAAAATTTGGTTTGAAGGTGTAAGGTGGGATAAACTTGAATGAGTTCGCGAACCAGCATGATCGGACTATGGGAACAGGGGTTTATGGGGGGTTTGATGGGGGTAAAAATAGGTTTTTCCCATTTTTGACCCTAAAAACACAAAATTTCACAATTTCTTTTCAATCCATTTTGTAGAGCTTAAAAAACAAATAATTTAGTATATTGAAGCGTTATTAAGCGCCTAATTGTTACGGAGAAGATTCAAAAAAATTTTAATTTTAAAATTCCCATGTTATTCTTATGGAGAATAAGTCAACTGTTTTAGTTTGCTTGTTTATGAACATATTTTGATCATATTTGGAAAATACATCAATTTCTTACTAAACCACAGTACCTTTTAACATTTTACGTTAAAAAAACTTTTTTACCCTCCCTGTTGCAGCAAACCTAAGTCCTCATTAAACTAATTCTGTTTAAAAAGGGAATAAATGTGATATTTTTAAGGAGACATTTTAGTTTAAATCCAATCAGGCAAATGGAAATTCGCTAAGTCTGCAGGTTTGCTGCGGCGGGGGTATTTAAGAAGGTATTCAAGCGCATTCTTAAATATAAAAAAAAACCTGTTGTCGTCTGCAAGAAGTTAATAATATGTATAAAACCTGTATAAAATATGTTTAAAACATGTATGTATTAATGTACAGTATCCCTTAAATAGGTCTCAACACAGACAGGTCCGGCTGACAACCTGCTTGCATTATGGCCACCTCATCTGAGTCAGACACTCGGCACCGAAAATCTGAATCTGACTTCCTGCTTATACCAGCGTGCATTGTGGACGTACCCTTTGTCTGCTGTCGCTGCGCGCGCTATGTTGCAACTTGCAACTGAGAACTGATTTCATTCACTGAGGGAGGACTGAAGACGACGTAATGTTTAGTAAGCTGTGATTGGGCGATACGGGATAACTATGGTGAATTGTACAATTTTTGGATAAAGAGAAACCTAAGAAAGAATATAAAAACAAAACCAAAGAGAAAGAATAGCAACGTCGTTATCTTAACATTCCTTTTACAAGTGTTTTTATTATCCTTAATTTGGCTATGATTATGCACTTTTATAATGACTTATCTAATAATTTATTGTTTTCAATACGATTTGTTTCAACTAGCAACACCAATGCTATAGTTAATGATTATTATTGACATTCCTCTGTTGTGATAAATCAGTACTGTAATGTAAGTAGCCTACCAGCCTATCGCCAGCAGTAGCTTACTAAACTCTACTGTAGGCCTATTGTTTTGTTCTTTACGTGGTTTATGACTACGCAATACAGGGTTTTGCTAGGTTTTAGGAGGGTTAGAACAAGCTGTGATTTTAAACTTACAGTTTTTAACCTGTCATTGTCATGATTGCGCAATATTCAAGATCCCTCACCTTTATTATGCCGGATAATTTAGGTTCTACTGTACAATGTAAACACTGTACTGTAAAGTATTGTAGCCTATGCTACTTTAATTGTATTTTAATGAGGTCAAATTCCTACCTATATTGACCGCTGGTTCTGAACCTCGACTTAGCGAAATTCCTGCAAACCTAACCTCTATATAACGAACCTCGTTTTAACAAAATCCTTGATATAACGAATATTCAGTTCGGTCCCTTCAGATTCGTTATACTGAGGTTGGACTGTATGCGTCGGTCAGTCTATTAAATAAAATCCAGTTAAAAAGATTACATTTTCGTTTCAATAGACCAGGCGACGTACGTAAGCGTCGTTGAAAATTTGGTTGTTTCAAGCTTTTACACAAACAAATAAAGAAACTCCACTAAACACTAGCCAAAACTGCAAAGGTTATAACGTTTACATCTGTTCTGTGATGTCGCGGAATACACAATGTAAACAACAATGTTGCCAACTGTTGTGTGACATAACCAATCGTCATATCCACAGACCAAGTGACGCACATTTGCGGCAGATATCCCTCTAGACCAATACGATAAAATCAGGGCTTTAAAATAGACCGTTGCTAAGAAGTATGCTGATTAATAACATTGAACACCGACGCAACTGTGCGTCGTTAGTCTATTTCAATGTGACCAGCAGACGCAAATATGCGTCGGTGGTCTATTGTGAGAAACGAGTCGACGCACAATTGCGTCGCTGGTCTATGCAAAAGTAAATTCCATATAATTGTGGTAGCGAACGTGTTAATAAGTTAAATGAATAGGCTATCTCGGATCAAAAAGTAAAATTTTGATATAGGTATAAAAAAAATCATTGATAATAAACTCAATGAATGTTCCCTTTAACAGGAAAGTAGGCCCTACCCAATCCTGATATTAATGGGACCCAATCCTGATAGTAATAGGACGCAATCCTGCAGAATGGGACACACTCTTTTCCAACTTTGTCGGTCACCGATGCAGTATTCAACTATCAAGTAAGTAAGTACGGTAATTTTGTAACGGTTCCATTTTACCACTTGTTAGGCCTACTTATATTGAAATACCGGTAGTTTAGCCTAATTTTATATACCTAGCCTACTAAGTTATCAGATTAATTAACATTAAAGGTCATCTAAAAACAATTAACTTATAACTTGTTCATGTAAGACAAAATAATTTTAAAACTTACTTGTTTCGGCATGTTGAGTGAATAATTCAAACAACACTGAAGATTGACAACACTCCACCTATAAAAAATAAAGGCTATTAACTTAATATTTCTAGATAGCCAAAACATAAAAATACATTTGAAGAGTGAAATCTACGAAGAACAAACTGAACTAAAACTTATGCAAACAAACAGATATAAGTGGAACCGACAAGTTGTTGCGAGCAAAGTTGCTAAAGTTTGTAGCTAGGAGTAAGACCTAACCATTCTTAATAACTTATGGTGATTCTTTTACTAAGTTACTATACAGCTTACAAAACTCAGGTTTAAGACTTGGGAGAAGTTTAAACTTAGGCTAAGTTAAAAGTTCAATTCCTTTAACGCAAATGTTAACGCTTTCCTTAAAAGTTGCCAGGGCAAAGAATGGATTCATATAACTAAATACAGGCACTTAACTTACTAGTAACCTATACTTTGTTCATGAGATGGTACTTTTTACCTCTGGCGACATCAAAACAAAATAACTTAATTTAATTAAGTTAACTTAGGTTGTTTAATTGGAACCAGGTCTAAATCTTACCATGAGACATACAACAATACGCCTATACCTAAGTTTAGTCCTTGTTATCCTAACTTGAGGCAGCCCAAGGCCGCACTAGATATACACCGTGCAGCCTTGGGCTGCCTCAAGTTAGGTTGGCGAGGACTATAGGCCTAACTTATTCCTTGTGGCCTAAGTTTAGGGGAAATTCACTTAGGCTATATCGAACCAGGCCTACTCTACTTCCAATATATATTTAGGCAAATGTTTTAATTTATAGATACTGGCTTTTAAAAAAACCCTAATAAAGTACCAAATAACTTAATAAAAACCCCTGAAGAGGCAAGTTAAACATTACTACTGCATGATATAATAACATGTCCTTATTTCTAAAGTACACTCACTGCACAATATACAGGTGTGTGCCCACCTACCCAATCAAAAGGTAGGTCTAAGTAGTTACCCAAGTTAGTCTATGCTAACTTAGGCTAACTATATAAATTAATGTAGCCTAGTCTATATTAAGTTGCCAAAAACATTAAATTTCGTTTCAAAATTGAATTTTTATGTTCAACAATAGTCGTTTTCGAATTCGGGAACCAAGAATGTGTTTCAATATTTGGGGTTATCTGTAAGAAGATTCAAGACTATAAGATTATGGCTAAGTTAGACATAAGTTTAGGCTAGGCTAAGTAGAAAAAAATCCCCCAAGACCACTTCAAAAATTCCCTAAGGCAAAAGGCGTAATTAATAAAGTAAAGATTAGGCCTAACGAGCCTGCAATCAGTAATTTTTATGGCAAGTATTAGGCTATTTTAGATGGATCTTGTCTTTCTTTAATGTGTCTGAAACTGGAAAAAATAAAATTTGTTATGAGTTTTCAATCAACCGGTGGGTACACGACAAGTTTCAAGACCAGTCCCAAATATAGGTTCGTTTTTGTTAATGCAGTTAATTGTTTTTCTAACATAGATCATAAGCAAAGTTAACTATACTTACGCGGTAGATGCTTATTTTAAAAGAACACACTGACAATGCATTTAATATAAATAAAATTTAATTCCAAAATGAAAATAATATTTTGTCACGTTGACTGACAACTCACGAGCAATATGGCTACCGTAAAAGGGGTGGGGTGGTAAGAGCCAGACTTCAACGTGAAAAAAAACTACAGCTATTCTGATTTCGTCTATGACCCATTAGTTGTACTGTATTGGACAAATTATAGACTTATTATTTACATGTAAGGCGACCGTGATTGGTTACTGGTAGCATGGATAAAACCATAGACTAACCAACACAAGTAGACTTCTCATCCCATTGTAAATTTTGAAGCACGTTTTTCGTGTCTAGTTCATGTACTAGACACAAAGGCGCTAGTGTCGATGAAACTTTGTTTCCATTATTTTAGGGTTAATTTCTTGATTTGTGCTTTACTGTTTGGTTATATATCTAGGGGACAAGTTATTGTTTATGATTAGATCGTATTATTTGTTTAAACGAGGTTTTAAATGGCTGTATTAACGGGAAACAAATTGTAAACAAAACACGACCTCTACATAAACCGTACATGAACTAACAATAAAATTGACTTCAGCTGTTCCATAAGGATGAGAAATCTACTAAGGGAGTATGTTTTATCTATGATAACCTAACCTATGAACCTTAAGGAAAATGAAAGATTGCTGCAGATTTCTGGAGAGAGTTGAAAAAACAAAACATTAAACAATTTTTAATTATTTTAGTTATTAACGGCCGCCCTTTTGAAATTACCTAATCAAACTCCACCATTGACAAACTGGGATTAGATATCGTATTAAAGCACTTGTATGCCAAATTTCATTAAAATCGGTTCAGGCATTTTAGTATAATAACCAATTCATAGCGACCCAGCATCCTCTTACGAGCGCCATATTGATGACGTCATCAGAGGCGACCGAGGTACTTAAAAATTGGGGTCTGGTTGGTTTTACATTCTTGGTCTTTTATATTATCTTCACTCTAAGTTGCAGGATCACCACCAGAACCGAAATATTTTTCTGCTACCCACCCCCTACTAGATTAAAGAGAGGAGTCCACCTACTATATTAAAGAGAGGAGATCTACAACTAGATTAAAGAGAGGAAACCACCTACTATATTAAAGAGAGGAGGAGGTTACTCTCTTTAATCTGTGATAAAGCCTCCAAACGTTTAACACATTCTCTATGTGCATATAGACCTACTTAATGATGATAAAGCGATCATATTTATTTTTTTTACAAATTTAGTACTTTTTATTAAGTAATTAACAATATGATTCCATAGCAAATAAAACGTAATAATAATTAATTAATTAACTCCACTAAATAATTGACGCAATGACTTCAATTCAATAAACCCCTTCAAATCTGCCAAGGCAGTTTGCAATATCTAAAAGCAAGACCGTATTGCAATATCAGATATAGAAGGTGCTGTTAAAATCACGACATGAGCGTTCTATCTTTATGCATTGGTTTATGATATTTAATACAATGATGACATACCTACTCATAATAAACCACCGCAGCAAACCTTGACTAAACGAGTTTCCATTTGTCTGAATTGATTTTCAATTAAATTTATTTAAATAACATTAGGTTAAACGAGTTCCTAGGTTTACTGCTACAAGGAAACTAATAAAGTGTGTTTGTAGTAAAATTTTAATGGCTTAGTATAAAATAAATAAATTTGCTAAGTGTTATCAAACAAAATATCCATAAACAAGCAAACTACAAACATTTTAGAATATTCTCCATAAGAATAATGTGGGAAATTAAAATTTAACATTTTATTATCTTTAATATTAAAACGAAACAGGTTTTTTTTATTTCACGATTCTGAATCAACCACTCGACGGATTTTCATGATTTTTGTGTTGAAAGAAAGATAATTTTGAGAACTAGGGAATGTCGAAGCCATAATTTTAGTTTAGGGTCCCAGTTATTTATAAATTAAGTTTTAATCTTTGAAAAGTCTAGCAGCCGACGCTAAGATTCTAAACTAGCTTTTGGTGTAGTATAATTTGTTTAACATAACAGCTGTGAACATTCAGCGTTTGTAACACAAATTCATCATTTGGATAAAATTAAAAGACACACTAAGGGTTGACTTATTTATACTATGTGTAATGCTAATCATTGATACGTTCAATCCTTCGATAAGAGTATGACAGATTATTTAAATATACATAGGTAAAATACTAGGATGTTCAAAGGATTTTGTAAATAAATCTTTGTAATCTTCGGTTTGTTTTAGTGCAATATAATTCTCTTTTAACTAACAGCTGGTTAAATATAAAAATGCTCTATAGAACCATAGATAAAAAGTTGGTTAGTCTATGATAAAACTATGATGAGGTTATTTTATTTAATCTGATTTTGTCATTGATTATAGAAAATAAGTAAGATTAGTAGACCACCGAGATAAGTAACACCATCGATGTATACAAGTCGAGGCTCTGTACACGAGTCTTAAAAAAAGGATATGCAAATTATTTTACTGCTCAACTTTTTTTTAGGAAACAGTAGAAAAATCACAATTTGTACATGTTTTATTTTATCTTGGTGGCTTTTTGTTTACAACCGGTGTTTTTGAATGCTTAAACTTTGTTTGGATTAGGCCCGAAAATATTGATGTCATAAAGAAGGAGATCAAGAATCCTCAGGAGTACGATTTTATATTACCACCACAACCTCAGACGGGTTTTATCCAAAGATATACAGATGAATTACATAGATTGAACACAACGTCATCATTGACCTAGGATACTGCAATTAGACTAACCACCCTTTTATGAAATCTTAACCATAGACTAGTATGTTTTATCTATGTCTTAACAGTTGTTTGGCGTGTGTTTAGTTGTGGTTACGTTTGGAGGCGCTGAATATATAGACAATTAATTACGTTATTAGCTTTCTTGGGTGTTGGTTAGTCTATGGCTTTACTAGCGTTTTTACGTTTTAAATTCCTTTAACATGTGACCAGTTCTTTTTTTTCCATATGAATATTATTTAATTTTTGACTCAGCTGTTTACAAAACAAACTATATGTTGTTGTTTTTCCTTTTCTTTGTTAACACTTATTTATTTAGCAATTGATGCAGTGAAATTGATATAAAGGATATCTGTGGACGATTCGTTTAGTGATGTAAGGACACCAACGTTATAATTATGTGTACTGTGAATTTTATTGGACGTTTTCGTTTTATTTTAGGGAGTTCCTATTCAGACCTACTGGAAATTGTGTACAGTATGAGTAATTGTATTGTGGTGATATTGATTATGGAAGAGGCAGGTATGCGATGGAATTGTAAGGTGGTACAGTATCGTTGACTAGGCCTATACAGTTCTCAACTGATAATTACTCTTTCTTCTTTAGGCTACAATAAAATTTGTCTAGACGTGTAAGCTAGCTGTTCTGAATTATACACAGATTTAACTGACTACTCCCGTACGTAGGACGGGCTAACACCTCGTTTTCATTTACAAACAATTTTGAAATTATATGTCTTTTTAATTTGAATGTGTGATCAGAGCTTATTCTGCATATTTAATTTTCTTTTAATGCATTTTCAATCACCAAGAAATACATTTATCTATGCCCTAATTAGGTAGGTTATTAATTCATAAAATTGAATAGGCCTATCTATGCCTTTTTAGTTATTTGTTTATTTATTTAATAACCCATACAAATAGTGAAGATTTGAAATATGGTACACGTGAACAAGATGGCTAATGATAGATATCAAAGTGACACTACAATTAAATGATTAACTACAGTAACATCCAAAGCAACCAATAATAAACAGTAAATATATGTGAACAGTTGTTCAGTAGGTCAATATACTCCAAACAATGCTCCAAACAAATAACGATAACAATAGTGAGTAACAATAAATAGATAACTCTTAGGATAACAATAACCTAGCCAATAAATGCAATAAGCTATAACATGCGATAGATAAAGCTATAAATTATATACTATATAGGCTAACTCAGGTCAATGCGACAGCTGCACTTTTCATTCAGTCCGATCTACATGGATTTACTACAGAAGCCCCTGCACTTTTTTCTTGAATGAGTTGGCCAAGACACCAAAGGAGTTTAGCTTAGGAGCAAAAATGCAGCCAAGTCTAAGAAGTCTTGAAGTCCATGGTGATAAGCGTAGTAGCAGGGCTCGTACCTTCTCCGAAAGCTAGCCCTGGAACGTGTTCCCCTAGGGATTGTGAAGTTGATGCCGGACAATGGTTCTTCTTGACTGGAGTGGTTGGAGATCAAAAAGCTCTTCGACCTCTCTGATAGGCGTGTCACTGTAGTCAAAGCCAATCCTAAATCCCAACGGTCTGACAAAGCGGGTTTGGATCTTGTTCAGCATATCCTGATGGCCGAGTTGATAGGTACGGTGACCATAGAATGGATCCGTAACTTACTCCATAATTGGTCGGACCAGAGTTTTGTAAAGAATAACAAGTGAATTTGGCGAGTTGAAATCCCTCGTAGATCTCATAACGAATCCAAGGGAGGATGCCTTGTTAACAATGGAATGCAAGTGCTTTTCCGGACTAAGGGTAGAAGTAATTACAATCCCAAGGTCCTTGGACTCATCAACTCTTCTTACGACAGAGCCATTGATGGTATAGTCATGGAGAACTCCGCCCTTTCCACGCTTGAAGGTAATTACCTGACATTTTGAAATATTGAGCTCCTTAGCATTGGCACGGCACCACTTCTCAATACGGTCCAAGGTAAGCTGAAGATCTGCACAACTCTGAGGGGTAGTGACTCTGCAGAAAACCTTCAGATCATCGGCGAACATGAGGTATTCAGTCTTGATAATGAGGCCATTGTCATCAATAACATCATTAAATAGCAGTGGGCCGAGATGCGAACCCTGAGGTTCCCCAGACGTGACACCAAAAGGCATGGAGGTTGACCCCTCGTATTTCACAAGGAGAGAGCGACCACTCAAGTAGTCCTTCAGCCAGCTCAGCAAAGAGTCACAGATGCCATATCCTGCTAGCTTAGTATTAAGAGGCCGAGGTTTCCCTTATCAAAGGACTTAGTCCAGGCAGACACAATCCACTGAAGAAGAATCCATAAACG